ATTTTGTTGTTCATCTAATTAGAACATTATTCATCTAATGGAATTTTTACTGCGCGCCAGTGAATCGATCTCCTGATCTGCAGGGTGAAAGTCGCGTGCGTTCATCGAATTGGGTGGTTGTTCCAAGGCTAACTATCTAGCGCGCTTTAGTTTGCGTTCAAGTGTCCACCTTGAAATGAGCAAACCACGTTTGGAAGGCTACAGTTGTCATACATGTATCAGCAGTCATGACTTACCATTCCTCCAGATAGAAATTCAGAAACACGTGGAGACAGCAAGAGCGTGGATCAGTGACGATCCTGGGAATGGGCTTGGTGGCTACGGCCATTTACTTAAACGCTGATGCAGATAAACAAAAAAGTGTCAAAACGGGTTCCTTAAAATCCATTGGAATAATGCGCTGTTGTTTCATGCCAACACTTTGTGTGATAAGAAAATCTTATGTAAAAATTGTGGCAACAACACTTCATGTTGATTGATGATAGCTACACGGTTAAATAACCGCCATATAACCGACTAATAACCGAGTTTAGCTGCTAGGGGAGCTAGAACTCCTCCCTGTCTTCTTTGCTTTGATAGCTAAACATTACTTTGTGGATGTCGACAGTTATCTGCAAACTCTCGGCCTGAGTCGGCACTAATAAGCACTCTAGTGTGAATTTCCGTGTTACTGCCTGGTTGACTGTAATTATTATTCTAATTCTGTCGCAAAACTCCAACAGTTTTTCTTGGAGTTTTCAACAACAACAATTTCCAACATTTTCTTGTACTGAACAGTCGCATAACAAGAGCCAGGTGCTTATTTGGACATTTCTACTAATACATAATCGTCATCATACTCACCGACATCATCAGCATCGATGGTTCGCTGCCGTTGTGAGGGAAAAATAATGGTGGATGGGGAACGGACTTAGTGTTTACTTATCACAAACATTCCGAGGTACCTACACTTCCAAACACCCATCCAGTTAATCCGAACAGAAAGTAACTAAGATTCGCAGCCATATTTTGCAGCGTCTCCAACGAGGCATGGTGTGTATCACGCGGTTCCGATCCTCGAAGGCTAGTAGCAACGACAGCACCAAATCGTTTCGTAATCTCTTTCATAACCCTCTGCCGGGTCAAGATTTGGCCACCCCTCTGCCTCCGCTACCCCTAGTTGGGCATGGGAAACAACAGTTTCGCTGCTCGAAACGGCCAAGTCTCACACCCATACAGCAAATCAGTCCGTATTGTAGCCTGATACACGTCCCTTGAGATTCAGGATTACACCACTTTGACGCCATGGGTGTCTCAAATTAGAAAAACGAGCCGAGCTTTGCAGATTTGCGCAGTGGCCTCATCTATCACAGTGCAATCAGAACTAATTCAACTTCCAAGATACGCAAAGCGCTTTATGACTTTCAGTACCTCTCCCCGGATTGTAAGTAGCGTGTTCAGTGTATGTATGTCCGGGATCATAACCTTACACTCTGTGGGTGCAAAAGGCATTCCAAAGGACGAAGTGACTTTGGTCAGTTCATCCAAAAACCTGCGTCTTCTCTTTGTTTGCAAAGACGAGAAAGATATCGTCTTCACATTCCAGATTGACCAGATCACAAGCCATTTAAGCGCCTAGGTTTTGAAGACCTTCTGGCTTTCTTCTCAAGATTTCGTCGATCGCAAAGTTAAATAGGAACGAGTAGAGCTTTGTATACGGAAGCTCTTGGAGGGCCCGCCGGTTGCCTTCACACGTTTGAAAGTCTGAGAATACAGGAGCTTATTATGTTCACGAACTTTCGGGGACATTCTTTGGTGTGCAAGTACTTCAAGGAGAACAGACCAGTCAACCGAGTCAAATTAGCCTTGAAAATCCATAAGTACTATAACTGTGGGTCATTTGTACATATCAAGTTGTTTTACCACCTAAAGTGGTGTGAATATTTGGTCAGTGAAAACCCTACAAGGTCGGAATCCTGCTTGGTGCTCTGAAATCAGTGTTTCACGAGCCACCGTAAGGTGACGATTCAAAAGAGATGCCAATAGTCCCGTTACTACCAAGGTCAAGCTGACCATCTTGTAGTATCCATATTACAACAAGCCTCTTTTTTAAAAACCGAGCTTCCATTTTTGAATTCCCGCAAATATACATCCTCCTCGTATCTCGGACCGTTGAAAACTGTCCATTATGCTCATGTAGACTGAATGGTGTACAAGGGTTTCTCCGAGGTTGGCAAATGCAATGTGCGAGAATTGTTTATTTATCCTTAAACCTTTCACTTTAGCCTTTTATCCAGAAGTGAATAAAGCGCGCACGGATGACTTGTAATGACCTCCAATGCGGTTGAATTTTCAAGCGAACTATCCTAGTTCTTTTGCTTGTGAAAACTAAATGATTGTGCATTTCGCTCCAGGAGATCTGTGGTTCATCGTGATATGGAGACCCCTAAAGGACCTTTTAGTGACGCATAGCATATAGATCTTGTCCGCGCATCTGATCGTGTCACAGCAATAAACATTTACGACAGGAAATATCCTAATATTTTAACAAAGGTGAGTGCATAGTTTGGTGCAGTCTGTTTGGATAAAGTCTGTCCTCTCATTAGTTCAGTCTAACCTAATGATACTGCATCTCACACCTAAGTAGCAGATAGTCACGGAAAGTAAGGAGCGGAAGATAGTTGACGAAGTCTTGGTTGTGAAAGCAGGTATGAAAGAGGCAAGTTTTGCCTTGTGCAAAAACGTGTCGGAGATCTCAAATGCGCAGACAGCTAGCATGTTACCTATAAACTAAATTAGGATCAACTAGCTTACAGAAATTTCAGCAGTTATAATCATGAATATCCGTAAGAAATTGCAGGGCGGAAGTACAAACAAGGACACCTTTCCTTTAACTATCGCACTACAGAATATATGTACCTCGGTGAGACTGAACTATTTCAGAGTAACGTGGGAAACCGATATCTGAAGCTGCCCACGAAATGTCAAGAGTAAAGATCTAAGATATGGCTGGCAGGTACTTCACGACTTTTAAATTTTGATGTAAACAACGGAGGAGTAGGAAAATGTTTTGGCTGGTGCACTCAAACCAGTCACCATTTCAGAATGTATACAGCTATTTTTTCAACTACTAATGAGTAGACAAGAAGTTCGAAATATTTGAGTTGCACATCATAAATGGAAATAACGGAGCAAACCGTTTAGCCCCTATCATTAGTAAAGAGCAGCGGATTGGATATGGAGTCCCAAAGTTAGCCCTGAACTTGAATAACATGATCACGTGTCCCAGTGTTGTAAGCTTCGTTACTTGCCGAAATGCATCATGAAATTACCTCAATGCTCCAATTTCGGACCATTTTTGATCGCACTATTTTTGGTTTATTAAAACTATTGGCCTTTGTTTTTTGGATACCCATCTTTCTCTGGGTGCGAAATTTTCCCATGAGTTGTTACAGCGCAATTAATAACAAAGATAACATAAGTGAGCGTTTCCTTACCTTTCGTATTATCACTTTTTGTCGCAGAGATATGGAAAACTTGATTCAGAAGATTAAATGACGAATCTGTTCATAATGTAAGCTAAGTGGTCTATCGTCTTCCAAACTTCTGAACTTCTACTTTTTGTGTTTTAACAAAGTTGACGACCTGGGATGACTTCCAGTGGTTGATCAATGATTTTGTCTTAGTAAACCAGGCGTCAATTGATGATATAATTATCGCCGCAAGCAACATCAGAAAAATTTACCAGCGCTTTACTACAGCACAAAGATGCCAACTTTTTTTAGTAAGACGCCATAACAGATGGGATGAAACAGGGTAAATAGAATGACCTAAAGCTAAGTCGTCGCAGACATTTGAGGCGCCGACACTACCAGTGCTAATTTAAACAAACTGGATACAAACTGACATTCTAAGATCAACTGACATCAGCTGGCTCGCCTACAGTTTCTCAAAACAAGTCATGTCGTCCTCGTTTTGTGAGGCATACAGCACCGGACGTCTTGTGAGGAAAATCAATTTTTTATACCCCGTCATGTCGTATCTGCCTCTAGGTTCCTGTTACTCCAAACAGAGAGTGGTAATTGTATTTTTCTTCCAGGTGGCAACTAAGCACACATAGCGGATGCAACAACATTCCACGACATACCAGTTCACTGACTCCAGCAGACTATAGGATACCAACAATGATGGACTTGAGGGCAGCTCAGATCTCCACATGCACTGGCCAATTCCTGCAATTCTACAATAATACCACTTGGAATTTATTGTGATTCACACATCTTTGAAAACTAACGACAAGCTGTTTCTGTGCCACAAGCACTTCTGGTCATTGAGATTTGTGTAGCTACGTTCCTGGCCACAAAACCGACAGAACTGATATGGATTTATGTTTCTCCTTGAATTTCAGGTCATTTCAATTAGATTTTGTCACATAACTGTCGAGCTGTTGAGGAGTTTGGTGCAGTTTTCTAACAAAAAAACAGCGTAGAAAAGGAGAAACTGAGGTCCGTTCCTGTATGTGGAGCTTAAAAGCAACTATATAGCGGGTTTTGTTTATACAGAGCGACCCAAAATCGATGGGATCAAATAATTTTATCACTTTTTATTTAAGATTTGCTGTTCCAGGGGGTTTAACATAAAAATATTGTTCTTTGGAAGCCGACGAGTTTAAATAATTTACTCGCTTTGTACTGTTTTCATTTATCTGAACAGGTTGTTACCACCTGAGAAGATTTATTGGAAAATTTACTGTCAAAACCTGTTTTCTGCGTTGTGATCAAACATAAGGACGAGTTCATTCGAAATGCGGTATGTAAGCAGCTAATCCAGAGATGACTCTAATTCTAAGCCAAACAGGTCGCATTTCTTCCTTGAAAAGAGCCACTCTGATACTATTCAGTTTTAGATCTTGGCTATTATTCCGATGATGCTTTGGGAAACTTGTGTTAACTACTCCTTTTCCCATTGCAGTGCGACACTGTACCCTATAGGATCCCTCTTTCTGAAGGCTTATTTACAAAATGTTGCTCTGCAACTACCGCAAATGCAAGCAACCACTGAGAATCTGCGCGGTTGCAACTGTCTGCAAACACATATTTTGCACAGACCATAATCCCATGCAGCTAAAAACCGCTGATGGCGAAGTCCAGTGCCCAGTTTGCAGAACACGTCTGAATAACAACTGTGAGCTGATGGAGGTATGTGAACAGTGATCGAGGCTTGGAATTTTGTTTAGGTTGATCTACAGCCATGTGAGCAATTTCGGACAATGATTTTGATGGGACAGAGCCCAGAAACCATTTTGGATGTTTGCAGACGTGCATTGGAATTTTATAACTTCCAGAAAGCTCAAGAGATAAAATATTATGAATACATAAACTATAAACTGACTGAAAAGAGTAGAAACATGGAAGCTAGCTGCAAAACTATTCTTAGCAATTTGGAACGCAAAAATCAAAGGTTACAGGCCGAAAAGGAAGCTGTATGTATTTGCAGATATAACGATATTCCTATCTGTTAGTTAATAAAAGAATGCGAGGAGCTTAGAGACAACTTGGTTGTATCGAGCCAGAAGCTCTCTCAGTTAGAGGGGGAATTGCGAAAAGTAACAATCAATGCGAACCCAGAATGTGATCAGGGACGAGTTCCTCTGGACATGTCAGTTGATCCGTTCAAATCGCGGAAAATCAGTGCACCATGTTCTGACGAAACTATCCGATCGAAGTTTCCACGCTGCTCACCCGATTCCACATACACCACGTCTTCACCATTCAACCTTCGGAACCTTTTTTCCTCGATGAACTTTAGGAAGAGTTCTGAGGCGAGTAATATGTTTCCACATTTGGGATTATCATCACGAAAAACGACTGATCTTCCTAATCAATCAGTACGTAATATCAACGAGAGTTTCCGTAATCTTTCTCATATTTCTGGCAAGACTTTTTATCGCTAAATCATTCACTCTACATTTCTTCTTGTTCCGAACCCGTTTTCTATAGAGTTATCTGTTTATACTAGTTATTAAATATACCCTTATTTTGCGCAATGTGGGTGGTGTTGTTTTGCCTAGAAAATGATCTAACAGTACTATATCAACCTCAAGGGACTTCTCTCTAAAAATTGAATTCGTTTTGGTTGATGGATTCAGCGGAGTTTTTCAAGTGATTGGAACAACGTGGGAATTACAGACGGAGAGCGGAAACCGGAGTTGTGAGGTTTTGGCGTAGCTGTTTTGATTACTGTGGTTGCCGTTTTCCGGGATTTACGGACAAAAAAGTTGAGATAGGTTACAAGTAAAGAGCCATTTAAATGAAACGTCTTAGGTTCTAATCCAATAAACTGACTTTAGCTGCCGCTATGACCTTGATTTCACTGGATGGCGAGGGATGGAATGACAGAATGAGCAAGTGTCAGCAGGACACACAAAAGCTGCATTCGTGGCTCCTCGTTCGGCAGCGATATTTACTGAGCGCGCTTAACGCGATGTCCTCTAAATGGGATTGACATCCCTAGAGTTTGTTGTGTGGAGTTAAAAATACGATAATATTCAGGTTACCAAAATGGGTTCTGTGCAAGATGACTGAATTCTACAGCGGATAAGGTAATTCGTCAGCTGTCTGATCTAATACGCTCTAAAAGGGATAAATTCGGTACCATCAGTTGTATAGTACTGTCAAAGCCATATGACATTACGAAACATACCCATGCGTTCGGCAATATATATTTGTTTTGTCAGAAGCACACAAGATATCATTGATTTAATACGATCTCAAGCTAAAAGCGGGTAAAAACACATGTGCCATGCTCTGGGTTTAACTGCTAAAACTATTTGTTTATCGAAGCAGTACAAATTCTCAAAACGCAGTGATCAACTGGACCAATGGATGTTTCAGAAGATAGTCACGACTGTCTGGTGTAACCTAGGTGAAAAAGTCACTGAGTCAATTAGGAAAAAAACAAATAGAAGGGGTACTTGTGTGCTATGGGACACAAAATGATCCTCTACTTCCAACCCAATTATGTGATTAACTATTCTATCCCGCAAGAATTTCTCTACAAACCACGATTCACTCCACTGTTGAAGATACGATAGTCGTCTCTTTTTGTTCCCACCATCATCTCATTAGTTGACATCATCACCATCATCATCATCAGCAGCAGCAGCACCATCATCTGTAAGAACCGCCTACTTGGCGTACAGTGGTTTTAGCTGCCACAGTATCGTTCATACATGATGCCAGATATGCTCGTCATAATCGGGTTGCAAGGAAACTTGCAAAACGCCTCCGTCAACTGGGTTACACCGTCTTCGAGGAGTTGAGAGCCCCTACTTCTACGTCGTTTATCAAACCCGACCTAATCGCTGTTCGAGATCGCCGTGCAACTGTAACAGACGTCAGCATAATCTCGGATGGGCGTGGAGTGACAGTGTAGAATGAGAAGAAGCAGAAGTATGGTGCTGATGAACATTCCCTCGCCATAATCTCAGCCCTACATGCCATCGGTTGTGATATCGACTTTTTGGTTCATCAACCGATGATCATCTCTTAACGAGGGATCTGCTTTCCTCAATCCGCTAAGGCTGTTATTGAACTGGCACTTCCTAAGGTGACTTGTGTTTGCTTGCCATGGTGGGTTCCCTGCGTACTTATGACACTTTTATGCGTGGCACATGGCGTTGAGGTACATTTTTTGCCATTTAATCTCAC